AAGGCGAGAGTGCGGGAAGGGAGAGGAGGACAAAGAACAGGCCAGACCGGCGTGCGTGGGTCGAATGGCGCGCGTCACAGGCGAAATATTTGCAGTATGCGCGCTTACTTCAACCTCACTTAAAGAACGTCCTTACTAGTCATAAAAATCTAAATTAATGATTAGTCTCTTTGTGTTTTTAGACCGATATGCAAGCGACGCGAGTTGTTGGAGCAGAATATGACCGTCGTTCCAAATCGTGTTCTCCTCTCTGAAAAACACGACATCAGGGTAAAGGCGACCGATTAAAACATGGGCTTCGGTAGTTGATGAATTCAAATTTAATCAGTCTCACGTAAAGTCATAGATTTTGAGGATAATCTGTCAAAATTAAGAAACCTATGACTAGGACTCCTTTAACTTGTTGATAAGTTCACTTAACCCCGGTGTATGATGTACTTTTGGCTTGGAAGCTATTAACGTATCCAGCTCATAACCGATTTCCGCTCTCGGCGTCAACCTGGAATCATCCACATGATTCCACAGTCTTCGAGCAGCATCAGCATCATCGAGAAAGTAACGATCCACGTCACGCATCACGCTGTTGCCGATTCTCTGAGGACAATTCATCTACCAGCCGCTGTGCACTCTCTGAAACCTTTCCTATTCTCTTCAACTGGAGTAAAATGACCACACACTACCTAAGGGTTCCGTGACTTCAGCTTCCAAAACTTTGGAATCAAGACTACTGCCGCGTGACCCATTTGCAGCGTCATTGCTATTCGCAGTTTGATTGGACCTTGGTCTTTATCTTGAGTTTACACCTTCATGAAACTCCATATAGTAAAACATTTAAGAATCGAATAAACATAGATGCAAATATTACCGAATATTATGAACAAGACGTGGTTACTAGAATTGGTGTTTTCGTGGTGGTTGTACCAACGTTTTTTTCTTCTTCATTCCAGACAAAGGACGAGTTGAATGATCTGATGGCCCGTGTCTTCGCTGAGGGGCTGGAAGGTCTGGTCATCAAGATGAACGATGCAAGTTGGCTCCTTTTACCAATTTTGTTGTGTTATTCGAAAAATGCGAATTTGCGTCGTAGTAAACTAATTTTTCCGATCTGAGAATTACACAACACTATTTCACGCTTGGTTTAATTCGAGTACACATAAACTCTTAAAAATCACAAATGTTCTCATTCCTGCCTATCGCTTACCGTAGTCTGCTGGGATTGGCGGAAATTAAGTTTCCGATGATCTGATTGGTTATTGCGGGTTAGAGAAGCAGGACGACTTATTATAAACAGAAGTATGTCCAAAGTACTCTATTTCACTTCAAATGGCACATGTCACAATTGAGGTAATTGTAAGTTGCGCCGTGTGGGAATCAAAGTTAAAACAACATAACAACTGTTGCAGGTTCAATGAACACGCCCGAACGGTCACATAACTCCTCATTCGGGAACTTGGCTTTATATTATCGACAAATCAGGGACTGTTGTTGAAACTGAGTTTGGGATCAAGTACGCGAACGGCCTACAGCTGTGAGAAGGACAGCGTAGCGGTCATGTAGGCAAAGTTTTCGTTGATTCCTGAGTAATTCCCAGTTTTTCAGTGTAAACGAAATTCTCCAGCATTTGCAAACTTGTTCCCTGGAAAGCGACATCCATTCAGAGTTAGTGAATGAATTTCCACCTCTGTAGTTAATAATCAGAGTTCCAGCTAAAGCGGCTTCAGCATTCTGAATACTACTAAAGTTTCTAACAGGTCGTTTGAAGATTTTCCCATGAACGTGCTGATTCAAAGCAGTAAACGAGACTTGATATTAACGTAAGTTTGATCTTATCGGAAATGTGTCTCTGTATCGTTTTCTGTTTGATAAACCGTTTTTTGCTGTGGACACACGATCTTCAGTTGTCGGTCGTTGAATATCGGTCAATGTCATTCCAGAGGGCAAAATTTTCGACGATGAAGATGTTAAGACTTCGGCTGGTTGAAGCCGTTTACGCGAAGGTCATCATTTGCATGGGTTACTGGGTATATCTGAGGTCGAATGTGCCTATGCATCGTTTTCAAATTATTAGGAATCGTCTACGAACCAAATCATGTCTACTCAATGTGCTGTTTGATCTGCCACTTATTCCACCAACTTGTTACCCCCAGTGGAATATCTAGTCTATTAAAAAAATGCATTTTTTGTAACTCCTGTAGAGTGTCTATGAACCTGGGAAGCGACATTGGATCAAAATAAAGAAGGATTACTTGGCCGAAGGCGCAATGGCTGATTCTGCTGATCTAGTCGTTCTCGGAGCCTACTTTGGAACTGGAAATAAGGGTGGGTCTTCGTCATCATCATCATCTGAGTGCGTTTCTGGGTCGTATTTGAAGGCCGTGTCTTGACGTGTTGTTCAGCCACCGCCTCACACCAGGCTTCAGGCTTGAACATGTCCGTGAAGGCGTAATCGCATGTGTGACTTCTTCATTGTGGTCGTTTGATGCATGGTGCACGAGGTTGTGTGTGTGTGTAGGTGTTAGTTTTAAATTCCATCGGGTTGTCCGCCAAGTTAGCGTGTTTGATTATCGCGTTTAGGTGGCATGATGTCAGTGTTCCTAATGGGCGCCTTCGACCCAGCCATCGACCAGTTCTGCACTGTAACCAAGTGCGCCAACGGTTTCGACGACCGCACGCTTCTGCGTCTGCAGAAGCAACTGAAAATGATCAAAATATCGAAGGTACGCTAATTCTGCAATACGTAGATCCTATTGGAGCAATCTTTTCGTACAGTCTTCTTCCAAGTCTATTTTCTTATAGGACTACTCCAAAGTTCCGAGTTGGCTGAACGTGGCGCGAAGCATGGTACCAGACTTCGTTGTCGCGGATCCAAAGGTAAGCCCCCCAAATCCATTCCAGCGGCTACTCGAATCGATGCACTGAAGCTCATTCCCATGAGACCTCGGTGTTGGTTGGCGACTGAGATTTCCATCCTTGGAATCATCGGGTTCACCAATTGTTGAAACTCCAGAGTGATAGCTTGAAAAGTTTTGGGAACGTAGTAGATGCACGGTGGTGTATATTCACCAAAAAGTCAACTAACTTGTCTGCGTATCAAACGGGATGCTGAGAAATAGACCACAATAAACGCGCCAATCAGGAAAGTCAATTTGGTGGGTGAGCAGCGTGTGCTACGCCTCACACCGCACCTAACAGTTCACCAACCCCTCAGCATCAGTCCCACCATCAGACCACTTTCGCCCGCTTATTCACCCACATCTAAGTCAGTTTTGTGTCTCGACACGTGTAGTTTGAGGAAGACTGTTATAACAGAGAATGCTTTATTGACCAATCAAAAACCATTCATCCGAGTCCTCGAAACTGGCTACACCGCTCATTACGCAGGGCCTACCATCCGTCCTTGTCGTCTTCGGTTGACTTATGATCTTCGGCATGCGCTATTCAAACGCCCACAGACAGGGGATTGGCCGAGCTTGGCGTGATCCAACATGTCTGCGCCCCAGCATGGCACTACTGTAGGTTCCCGACCCATGGTATGGTCAAGAAGAGAGAGAGTAAGGCAAAAGGGAGTACTTTAATGAAATCTGAGCAGGCCACAATCTAGTCACAAACAGGTCGGGCGTAAGAGTGAAAACAGAGGCTTTATATATCCTTGTCCTCGTCGTCCTGTTCTCCCGTTGGTCCGTTCCGAGGCGCTGCAATGGAGACGGGAAACTCGTGAGCGGATTGGCTCTCAGTCCCCGGCGCGTCATTCAATGCCCACGTGACGCCACACGGTCGGAATTCGCACCCCCGGTCACATGACGTCGCCAACATGGCATGTTTCTCACCTTTGACCAATGGATTAACACCAATATGGCTGCTATCTGTCACGCCGCTAGACTACTGTAGAATACCTGAGCCCTATTATGAAGAAGACCGGTACAACAGAACAGGCTTTATTGACCAATCACAAGCCAGAACCACACGTCAGACGCCTACCATCCGAGTCCACCACGCTGGCCATGCCGCTCATTATACACTGCTTCTCATTCGTGTCTTTCTCTGGTTGGCTGGTTATCTTCCTCTCATGCCATTGGAACGCAGAGAGAAAGAGGATTGGTTGAGGCCAGTGTGGTCCAATATGTCTGCGCCCTCAGACGTCGCTACACTACACATGTCATAAATTCACGTCACTGATTGTAATTAAAGAGAGAATCGGTGTGCACAGTGTTAGTTACCTTAGTGGTTGTCCGGTCATTGCTCTTAACCTTCCAAAATCACTTATGTGCATTCAGCAATAGTTGTTGTTTTGTGGGAAATCCAACAAGATTTACTTAAAAATCCCAACGCATCCATATCAGGGATAACAAGGTGAAAAACGGAAACCATTCCGTTTCAAAAAAAATCTTTCACGACGTCAGGTCATTTTAGAAGTTGGCGTGTTCGTGTGCTTGCAGAGAACCCGTGGGCACGGACCAATGAAATTCAAGTGTGACTCAAAGGCACCAATCAGCTTGCTGAAAAGCCTGTTCGGACCAGTTTCCGCTCCTACGTACTTGCTGAGAGTTTGACGCACACACACGCCCGAAAAATGAAGTTGCTAACATGTTTTATGTGGTCTTGTAAAGTTTCCTTTCTCTCAAACAATCACTGCCTTGTCTACTCAAACCAATATTTCACGCAGAGAAATTGCCAGTCAGTCGATTTAGTTGTGGCGAGAATTTCAACACCGCTTGTGCTCTACTGAAATTGGTTAAAAGTAGTCTGGAGGGGAATCCAAAGTACAAATAAGATAACCCCATCTTAACGGTATATTACTTCATTACTTTTGTCCAATTTCGGATCGAACTGAGAACCGCAGAACACCTAATCTGCGATTTCCAAGAATGTGTTGTTGACCCTATCATGTGGTCTTGAACCACGCCGGGGCCACGGAATTAACCCTGGCCCGATTACGCTTCCCTGATAT